TTGAAAAACATTATTTTTGAGATCAGAATGTTATAATTAAAAAAAAATGAGATTACTTTAAATAACTATTGCAATATAGATTATTCGATAAATTTAATTTTTTTATTTACATAAAAGTTATTTATAGATAATAAGAGTCACTCATAAGGTGTTTTTTTTAAGCGAGAGAGAAGGGTATATCATTTGCACGATCTCTTTCTTTAACCTGATCTTTTCTGAAACACTCACACTCTTTACAACTTCGTCAAATACATATTTGTTACAAAAAATATGTGTTCTTCAAAGGGCATCAAGGACAACAAAAGGGCATTAAAAGAATGTCAAATGATTGCCGAAAATTGTTACAAAAATTTGATGTCCATTTGACGCCCATTTGATGCTCATTTGACGTCCATTTGATACCCGATATAATAAATGAAGTTATTGTGGATCTTGTAAAAGTATAGAAGTAATACATATGTAACAAGTAAAGACAAGATCGCACGAAGACAATTTCTTAAACAGGGTGATTCAGAATAACAACGTGTTCTTGACTGAATTCTGAGACGATTTTTCCTCTACGAAAATTTTATTCGACGCTTACTTTTTGGGTTATTAAAAGATAAAGTTAGCGAATTATAGGCCACGTACAGAAGGTAAGCAAGAGGCACACTCACCGTCCGTAGAGACCCTTTAATCAGAGACTGGCCATAAGGATTTCGTCAAATTTCTCCAAGCGAGAGAGGAGTATAGACTATTTCACTCTTCCACCAATAACGGTGTGTATGCATGATGTATACACACCGCTATTGGTGGAAGAGTGAGATAGCCTATACGCCTCTCTCGCTTGGAGAAATTTGACGAAATCTTTACGGCCAATCTTTTATTAAAAAGTGTCTAACCGTCCGATGACGCGATCGATGACGAGGGACACTCATTGCGATCAGCTGTCTAAAGACATAGGATTTTTCTGTTTCACATAACACACACACACACACACAGCTAAAAAAGAAGAGTAGAAAAGAAAAAAGCGAAAAGTAAAATAACTAAGAAGGGAGAGGAGAGACCGGAGAGGGAGAGGAGAGAGAGAGAGAGAGAGAGAGAGAGAGAAGAATAGTGGTGAAAAATGAAAGGGAGATAAAGAGAGATCTCTTTCATTCTATTCCATATTCATTTCATCCCCTCTCTCTCTCTCTCTCACACACTCACTCACAGATATATATTAGATAAAGTGAAATGAAAAGAGAAAAAAAGGAGTAGAGGAAGAGAGACCAAAATGTGAAGATATATAGAGTAGATAGAGTATGGACAAAGAGAGGAAAAGATCATTCGGTTATACTATTACACCGCTAGTATCGCTTAATTAATTATCCTCATCCTGATTCTTCGCGTTGTCTTTGTCCTTGCTTTCGTTCTCATTCTTCGCGTTGCTTTTGTCCTTGCTTTTGTCCTTCGAATAGCGAAACCAGTTAATTATTGCAGTTTCTATTTCCCTCATCTTAACCTTGAACATGACTTGCATGATTTCTGCAATAAGTAAAAATTCATTTGTAATTTCTAGCTCCTTTTCATCTTCTCATTTTAATGCGTTGTTATATTTTATTTGTGAGGTGGAGTTTACGCCGAGAACGACCAAAATTTCGAAATTGATATATTTTTTACCATTTCTTAGTGTAACATGGCGTCTCAAGCTGTCCAGTGATAACATTTGCTTGATACGAAAGTTTTGCAACCTTACGAAAGTAAGGTACTTACGAAATAGTAATCTACAAACACCTAATTTGCATGAACAAATAACGTCGAGTTCTTAGAATTAGACTTAAACGCTTTATTGCTACGAATTTGTTATACGAAAATTGACACGAACGTGCGACTGCATGTATCATTTGTGTAAGATATTGGTATGGTAGTATATAAAGTCATGTCGATGCGCTGGAAAAACAGCGACCTCTGGTGATTTCGTTGGAGTTCGAGCTTTGCTTTAGGATCCCCTTAAATCTATTATGACTATGAGAGATCATCCCATACAACATAGTTCTGAAGGATGTTCAAAGGATGTCTACATCATAAGGATATCCTCAAAATGTTACCCAGAGAATTGTGTTCTGTGGGACTTATTTCAAAATAATAAATATACTTGAAATGTTATACATATATATATATATTGATTTTATTTCTTTTTCATTGCATTATTTTTTGTTACACAAGAGATTTGAAAAAGTAAAAAAGATGCAGAAAAGATGTAAAAAGTTTAGGAAAGTGAATAGATAATATAGATGAGTAGATAAATAACGTAGATAGATGAACATCGGAAGGTAGATAGATAACATCGATAGGTCGATAGATAATGTATAGATATATACTTAGATATGTAAATAAATAATACGCAAACAGATAAGATGCGAAAAAGATGCGGAAGAGATGCTGCGAAGAAATGCAGAACAAATGCGGAAGACGTGCAATAGAATTTCGGAAACGGTGAGAAGAGATGCGGAGGGGTGTAGAAGAAATGCGAAATTAATGCGGGCGAGGTGTGAAAGAGATGTGATAGTTATGTAGAAAAAGTGCAGAAAATAAGTGCAAAAAAGTGCAGAAGAGGTGTAGAAAAAGATACAGAAAAACTGTAGAAAGTGCAGAAAAAAGGTGCATCAAAAGGGGAAAAGATTTTGCGAAGACGACGACGACGATGTATCTGAATGATAAATGTCCATTTCTACCAATATGGATTAACTTTAATCTTGGTTTAATTTACTTTTCTTCTTTTTTTAATCCTTGGAACTAGAAAAAGATGAAGAATAAATTAAACCGAGATTAAAGTTAATCTACGTTGGAAAGAAACGAGCATAAATGACATAAATCGAGCAAAAAAATACGTGCATATATTTATATCTACGCATTAAGTGCACTTATGGACATGATTATTATCTCATTCCAATTGTAAAAATCTATATTCTTCCCTCCAATATGCATTTTTTAAATAATATCAATTTGTTTAAACAAAACAATAATTTTTAATTACATAAGCGTCCTCCTTCCTGTTAAAGGATACGCCGTAGCGTCTCTTTCATGACATTGTATTATCCCTTCGTAATAATATAAAAAAGAGAGATGTTTTTAATATATTAAACTTCAAAAATATACTTGACGGGAGACGTTACCGCGTCTCCTGATTATTCGTGTCATGTCGCTTTCAAAGCGGTTTCCTTGTGAAGCTTGGTGGTTGCAATGATGGTCATAAAAAATGCCAGTTTGAAACAGAGATTTCACAAAACATTTTCTGTAAATTTAATTTTTGGTAACTTATTACAGCTACTTACAGACTTTATTTTTCTTTTGATATTATAAGTTTATAATTTGAGATTTGTGCATTCTATATGCATTTCCTATTAATGACGACGTCATAAGCCGGTTGATGTTAATTTTGTACTTTTATAATAAATATAACATCTACGTGTAAAATAATTATAAATAATAAAATAATATTAATATACTATAATAATTTTATAATAAATATAATATTTACGTTATATTAATAATAATAAATAATATAATAATAATATTAATGTATTATTTGTGTATATAAATGTGTGTGAAAATTATAGATACAACCAGTAATAAAGAAAATTTTCAAAGCGGAAACTTCTTTGGCGCTTATCCGGCTTATCATAACAAATATATATGCACATATGTTGCATACGCGTCACAGAAAAGGTCAGCTTTATCAAAAGAACTGTTTAAATATAATAACTTGGGCGAAGCTGTTATAAATTGTATATCTGCAATTCATGTATCCTTAATTATAATCAGCTGACATTCTCGCGCGAGTTGCCAAATCCGAGATGATGAATTAATTTAAGAACGAGGCTGCAAGATAAACGAAGCTGCAAAAAAAATCGCCAAAAATGAAAGGAATCTAAAGATATAAAAAATAAATATGTAATAATAAAGCGTAATTAGATTGTTTCGTATCTCTGCGGCAGCCAACCGTTTTATAATAAAATAATCCAAGACGTCGAAACTTCTTATCATAAAGATGTCAGAGGGGAACAGCCGTTTATCATAACATTAATGCTTTCATTGTTGTATATCTCCATAATTAAACAACAAATTAAGATTTCATTGAAGTGAAGTCTGCTCGAAGAAAGGGTATGACTCTGTAATCTTGTTTGCTTCATATAACGTCAGAAATTTACTATTCAATTGATAAGTAACGTAATATGTTTTTACAGATAGACAAGATCGACTCGAGTAGAACCGACTGAAAAAAAATAATACAATGGAAAAATGGGATATTCTAAAATTAAATATAAAATTAAAAAGGTATTATAAAATTCAGAAATAAACATTTTTTAATTTATTATCTACAATTATAATAATACTTATTTTTTAATTTATAATATGTATATAATAACATATATATATATATTATATAACGTATTTCAATTTTATTCTTTTTTTACATGTTTCAAATTTTAATCTTTTAAATGCACAGATATTATAACATTATAAAATTTATTTAATTAAAAAGTTATATGAAATTTAACAAATTTAAAGATAAAATGTATTTTTCTTAATCAAAGAGAGAGAGAGAGAGAATGTCTCTTATTATAGCACACGCTTGAAGGCGCGTATTTGTTCTAAATTCAAACAATGACGAGTCTGAAAGACTACTCGGTGCAACGCACGGAAATGTGTCACGTCATCTAAGTCATCGAAGTCGAAGACATGTTCCCCTGAACATAATCAGAGCGTACTCTACTCATAGAACGATAAACATGATCGAGCAGTTCAGATAGCACCGTGCACGGAACAGATCGTCCACAATCGAGATCAAGTGGGATTGAGTAGTTCGTATGTCGCTATCAAATACTGTCAGATCGCGTAATGAACGGAAATCTAAAAGAAAATTAATATTAAAATTGCTTATCAAATAATAATAGCGTATAGTGCGTGACGGTATTGATTGCGAATATTATGATTGGAAATATTAGAAAATTCATTTGAGAATCCATAATAATCAGATTCGTCCTTATAAACCAGTACGGAGCTGTTGGCTTTCTAGAAGGCTCGCAAATCGCGTAACTCAGAGCGTAACATAGAGTTACTCAGAGTGTAATATTCTCGGAGAAAAGTTTCCGTAAGACCCATAGATCATTTAGTCATTGAGTTGTTGTTATAGCAATCATGAATGATAAAAGTACTGGTGACACAAGTTTTCAAAAAGATAAATATGGTAAGTTAACGGCTCAATTAATCGTAAGATGTTTGGTAATTCTAAGATACTGATAAAGCTGATTTAATATTGAAAACAATAGTTTACGAAATATTTTATGCTTTATTCTAGTAAACTTTGACAAGAAATATAAAATATCTTGTAAACTATTAATTTTTTGTGACTGTAACTTAATATTTTTATGCACAAAATAAAGAGATGAAGGAAACACAATGTTGCTTTTAAAAAAAAATGTGGAAATTGCATACTTTTTTATTTTTACTTTTTATCTATTTTTTATGCTAGTATCTGTACTTTAATAGTTAATTTTGTATGCAGAGTAATTAACGGAATCATATTATGTAAAACAATTATATAATATAATATTTCATTTTAAAAAGTGGAAATTATCTCTTCATATCTATAATCTTTTTACTGTCTTTATTTAAAAAAAAAATAATGTAAATAAAATATATTTTCTTTAAATTTTTCTTTAAATTTTTCTTTAAATTTTTTTGTATCATTAATGATTTCAGAAAAAATTGACTGAATTGATTAAAACGCAATTGTCTGTACATGTATTTCTTTTTTCAGCAGACAATGAAAACGCGTTTACAGATGTTTTACATGAGTTGAACGCCGACGTATTGCGAAAAAGAATACAGGTGCGAAAAAATATATCTGACTAAATATATCGAATTAATATCATTTGTCATCAAAAAAGCGCAGTGGAGTCTATAATTCAAAAGCTTAAACCGTGAATATTCGATTTCGTGAGAGAAACGTGGCTTTCTAGCGTATTATTTGTTGTAAGACGTATTTCTTTGCAGGAAATAAGAGAGGACGTTTCGGGATACGTTAACACTCGCATTGACGACATGATGTCCGAGATTATGCGGAAGATACAGATGCCTTTGGCAAAGAATGGGGAATTCTTGTACATCATGGACAAATATAGCGATAAAAGGTGAAAAATGACAAGAACAGAGAAAGAATATTTGCTTCGAGCAGCAAATATTCATAAAAATACACGGTACAGATAGAGTAGATAGATTTAAAAATATTCGATAGTACATAGCAATCCTTTTAAACGAAAAATATCAACGTGAAAGATATTAAAAATGGATCTAAGCAACATTGTATTTCTTAAATCTATTTTTTTTTAAAAAAAGATCATTGCATCACAAAGTTCAAAGTTCAAATAAAATAAAATCTTTATTACGTAATTCTTACATCTTCATGTAAGAATTACGTAATATTTGATATAAAAAGTATTACATTAAAAGAGTGTAACATCCAATAAAGTACATTACGATTCTATAACATAATTGAAGAACTAATTTTAAGACAAATATTGGATATTAAGATAAGAATCAATCACATTCGACTGTTATTTAACCACTCAGTGAACAATTGTGTTACCGGATGCACTCAAAGAGTTACTATTAACGTAAGAATATACGCGCGTAAACTTAGAGAATTTATAAAATATCAATAAAATATACCAATCAATATAAATATATAATATTAATCAATATAATTATATTTATATTATATCAATATAATCAATATAAATATATTTGTAACATGTTGATCATATTGGTATTTTCGTTATTTCTCTAGGAAATCTAACAAGAAAGATGCGTTGCCGGATAAGGAGTTCCTCGAAAGAAACTCTTTGTTCACTGATCTCTTAAAAATCCCGCATTTTTGTGCGATATACAATCTGTTCATAATGACCTTTGTAATTCTGCTTGTCAACACCATCGCATTCGATATCATGGAGACAGGAACGTAAGTTCGCAATAGGAATCTAACTCACTTCCATCGTAGAATCGTCAAGATTTCGTTATTTCGTGGAAAAACATAAATATCTTTCCGTGAAATATATATTTAAAATATATGAACATGTGTATGTCCTTACCGTTTAATTTTTCGTTTTAAATTAATGATTCTTAAAGGATCCGCCTTGGTACCAACACGTTATGGATTGGTTTCGCAAAGTTTCCAACGTGCATCTACATTTGGTCCTTTATGCTAGCCTCGACACTTAGTGTCTACGTGCCTTTTATCCTTTGGGCGCATCAACGACTCCAATTATTGCCAAAATGTAATGATCTCTTTAATTCAGACTTACAATTAGATAAATGTGTTTAATTTAAATCTTGAGGAAATTAAGTCATTTAAGAAATTTAAAATTGGAAGTAAATCTTTTAAAGAGTAATTTGATTAAAATAAGTGTATAAAATTAAATCTCAATTTTTAAATAATCCTTTCTGTGCTAAAATAATAATTGATTAATTAAGTAGAAATCATAGTACGATAATGACAATGCAAAAATAATTGGACAAATAATTATAAAGACTATAATATTAAATAATATTAAATGATTAAAGTAATTTATATTATCTATATATAAATAATAGTAATTAATTTAATTCAAAAGATTCAACTATATCTTTTCTTTTTGCAGCCTCCATCCAAAAATTGTGGGATTACAGCTGGCTGTCAATGTTTATATTGTATCAAATTCTCTTTATTATTTTTCCTATTAAAGCGATGCTCGACGCAAATCTCTCCATTGGTTGCAATATGATTGTTATATTTGAACAAGTACTCATCTTTAAAAATCTGCGATTATAACTTCTTGAATTATGTTAGAAGTAAAAAGTTTGAATTTTTTTGCAAAATATACGTCGAAGTAAATCAATTTTCTCGTATACATTTGAAGTAAAAATAAATAAACCGTGTTAATGATTTTTTTCTATCGTCGAAGACATCAACGTAATTTATATCTAAATGAGTTTGAATAATACACATATAAATATATAGAATAATTGAATATATTCTTTATTTCAACATTACAATAGATGTTGGAGCAAAAATTTTTGCATTACAATAAATGTTGGAGCAAAAATTTTTCTACTTAAAATAATGTTCGCTTCTTTAGATACGCATGACAATGAAGAGTCACGCTTTTGTCAGAAGCGCAGCACCCAGATTTTTGTCATACAAACCTCACACTGAAACTCTGCGACCGAATTGCCCCAAATTCTCGCAATATCTGTATTTTCTGTTCGCACCGACTCTTGTGTACCGCGACGAATATCCCAGGTAAAAATGTTTCATTCAACGGAAAATTAACAATTAATTTGAAATTTTTTAATTGTGCGATGACGGAGACAACTTTAAGTTACATAATTATGAAATTCAACCTAGAATTAAATTTAATTCTATTTGGACTATGTTGAATTCATATAGCTTCAAAATTAAAAAAAAAAGCTTCGAAGATCATTCCTAAAATTTACAAACAAAATATTCTTAATCCTCATCTTCTCAATAATGTAATTCTATAATTAAATTGTTTAATTTATCGTATTATTTAAAAGATAATTTAATTACCAAGTATTGTCAAATTGTTGGCTTTTAATTAATATTAAGTGACTTTAGAAGAAGATCTATATTTGAACTCAATTGATTATTTTAGGACGAAAAGAATTAGGTGGAAGGTGGTGATTCAAAATTTCTTTGAAGTGGGCCTAGCAATCTTCTATCTCATCTTTATCTTGGAACGCTTTATATTACCGGTCTATCACGTGTTCGGTACACAATATTTGGAGCAGAAGTGGTTTATTACGAATGCCATCGACTCTAGTATTCCTGGCTTTCTGTACTTTATCACTGGACAATACCTCCTGCTGCACGCGTGGTTGAATGCTTGGGCGGAAATGTTGCAATTCGCCGACCGATTGTTTTACAAGGTAAATATATATGCATCTTTATTTATCTTATACAAAGTTATACGAAGGATACGCAAGTATTTTTTACGAGTTATATCACAGTGCTTTAAGATAAGTAATTTAATATAAGCGATAGCTTAAATATACGCTAAGTCAAGAGAAATTAGTCAAAATGATCAAACTTTATTTTGATATCATGAAAATCAAAATGATGATTTTTGATTACAAAATTTGACTGTAATTGACGTTAAGGATCAAAATAAAGTTATTTTGATTTTTTGTTGATTGAATGTTCCTTGGGTCCAGAATTGACCATATAATTTATTTGCATAGTAATTTTAAGAGAAAAATACTGCGAGAAAGATATTTCCCTTACACGAGAGAATTTGTGATAACTTTCGGAAGCTGAAGATTGTCGACTTTTGTAAATTGTAGTTTCATGAATTACTATGTCGCATGTGTTACAGGATTGGTGGAACAGCACGAATTATCACAAATTCTATCGCACGTGGAACGTGGTAGTGCACGACTGGCTGTACACGTACATATATAAGGACATGTACGAGATCGTGGTGCCGCGCAATCGGATGCTGTCAGTCACTGCTGTATTTTTCGTCTCCGCCATTTTCCACGAGTATATACTCGCGTTTGGTTTCGGCTTCTTCTACCCGATGATGTTCATCTTTTTCGCCGCCGTTGGTTTCCCTATGTTCTTCATCAAGGTCAACAGCGTTGTGATGTGGTTCAGTTGGAGCTTCGGCAACGGCCTCTTGTTTAATTTGTACGCGATGGAATTCTACGCCCGGCACAACTGCCCGCCTCATCCCGATTACTACCTGGACCTGTTCATACCGCGAAGCTGGAGCTGTCAAAAGCAATTTAACACTTAGATCTTTTCGTTTGCGTTAGCAATAAAATCTTTTAATGGAACAATATATTCCCTATTCTGTGCAGTCAGAGACTATGTATATAAGAAATGTTATCTACAAGTTGGTGTAACTAGTGTTAACTTAGTGTTAAACTAGAATAGAGCAAAGAATAGATGTTGACATAAAATCATATTAGTAAGAGGATCAATGGGGATCCACGCAATTGTTAATAAAAAATTATTATAGTTGTATATTTGTGGAATATTTGTTATATTTATGGAATTGCACATTTATTTTTGAGGCATATTGGATAACGAAAGTTCTGTAATTCTTCGAGTCTAATGAAAAAACTTGAAATGAACGTTTCTTTTTTTGGCATTTTTATTGAAATCTATGTTTATTATAATCGATAATGATTTTCAAGTTGCACTGTACAAAGCGAAGTAATATCGCTTTATCATAATTCACAGTGAAAATTATTATTACGATCGAAAACGGAGAAAACTGATTGTTAGTTTAACTTATTTTTCGAAGATTCCAGTTTAAACAGTAATATTGCAGTAATATTAAAAACGTTAAAACATTGTTGCTGCTATGCTGTATATGATCGACTCATTTATTTGTTATTCCATATTTATTGTGTCTAATTCTCTCGGAAGAAAGTTTCCGAACTTCTGTTTTTTTATTTTATATTTAATTATTATATTTAATTATTATATTTAATAAATTAGTATTGCGACTAGATTATATGATATTTGCAGAGCAATATTAGAATAAAAAGAAATTGTTTACAATAAAAAAATATTGATTTTTTTGTAATAAACATGATACAAAAATGTAAAAACAAAAAGGACAAATACAACTTTCATGCACAAATTTAATGACTTTTCTAACTTTACACGACTTTTTCTTCCCAAGTTTTTTATCCCAATGCCAAGAAAATACTTTTTTTCATTTGTAAAAATAATCCAAATAAATTCTTCAACTGTAAAATGATCCGAGAATATCATTGAAATTTTATCTCAGTGGAAAGTCACTCTCATGTTCCACTGAGATAAGATGATCGTCAACATATTAATCGAAAAATTCGTAATACGTAAAATGAATATGTAGATAATACAAATCATCTGCATAAATACATATAATGTGTATTTATATACATGTATAAAAATTAATTCACCCTCCGATCTAGGTCATCTAATGTAAGCGTAAATATGTCTAGCTTAAGATATTGAACTTAGCAGAATGATCGAATAATAATAATAATATGTATCTGTTTAATACAAAAGTCAACTGCGGCAAGTGCAGCAAGTTGCGTTCTAATCACTTAATTTAAGTTGATTCGATTATCTCGATACAGTGATTATAGGATTGCATAATCAGACATTGCTGTTAATCGATTAAGCGTAATGCTAATTTGATTAAAGATGTTTTGATTGTATATAAATATATATATATTATCAGCTAAATTTATCAGTCAAAAAATCAATTAAAATAACCAAATCAGCCAAAACATTTTTGTTATAAATACTCTCTGAAATCGACTGAACAAAACAATAAATAATTTGGCTTGTGCTATAAATGATTTGCTGTAGTTTTAGATGAATAACTTCTAAATATGGATCCAAATCAACATTATTTGTACGAATAATTACTAATTTTATTAATATATGTTTAAAAAATCAGATTTAATTCGTAATTCTATGACTTTATCGAATGTAACAATTAAGGCAAACAAAAAATTAAATAAATTTTGAACTAAGATTGTCCTCTCTTTTATGTAGAACATGATAGTGTCTCGGTGCTAAGATAAGCGCAGCGTCATATAGATTACTCAAACATAAATAGAACAATTTATATAAAATAAAATATAAAAATTAATATAATGATATAAAATTTTTACATTTTTGATGATTCTTTGAGAATAACACATACCTATATCCTTAATGTGCGCCTGTCATGGTCTCTAGAAAGTCACAGGTCTACAAACATTTTACCGATAGATCTAATCAGGTCGACGTAAAAAACAGCTGAGCGCAGATAATTCCTCGTGCATATACAAATTCTTGCAACTCATGGATTTTGATCGAAATTATTTAATCATTTCCTAGATTTTTATTGTGTTTTCCAAGAAAAATAATTTTAATTGAAATTCATTCAAAATAATTCAATAATATGTGCCTTGATCTATAAAAAATGTTCTTAAGTGTAATAAAAACACGAAATCATTAAATCACAATTAGTAGGTTAATATTAGAAACGTGAAGATATGTATTATTAAAGGATAAGTTACATAGCAGTAGTATACATTATATTTCACACGCGTTGTTTTCTGAATTTACAATAACTTTAGTTCTATACAAGAAATTTTAGCATGTATAAAAATGCCTTCATTATTTTTAAATTGGTGAGTTGATGATGAAAAATGTTAATAAAAACTATAAACAAATGGAAAATTATTTATTTAAATAATGATAAATCAGGATGATAAATCAGATAAATTAAAAATAAATTATAAGTAAAAAATTTAAGATCACTAAAATCGGTCTCATGTATTTTTTGTAGATATAACGAATAGTTTCAACGATAATACATACGTAATAATTTGAATATTCAAATGAGAGACGTTTTTTTATAAATATTATATAATTTCTGCAACTCACAAGCGTAAATAACTTTACAAAAAGAAAATCCCAAGTTTTTTCGCGAAACACGTGTCTCATATTTTTATCTGTAGAATACATCATCAAATTTAAAAAATAAATAAAATGATGTTTCAAAGGTGCTCGGTTTGACGTGGAATGCCTCATATAGAAAAATCTAAAAAGTAAAAAAAATTTACAAAAAAATTTCATTTAAACATATTTTCGGAGCCGCTTATAGCGGACTTTAGCTCCATTCTTCTAACGAATATCAAATTTTCCGAGCGAATGGCAGTTATTTTAGTTACTAGAAGATAAGATAGTAGGGGAAACCGGGGATAGTAGACTCATTTTTCAGTTTCGAATTTTTATAGACGAAATTAAGAGACTTATCGAAAAAATGAATTCTACGCCAGTTACTACATTCATTTGACTATCTAATAATATTTTAATAATAAGGGAAAACTAATAATTACTATGAAAAAAATGCATTTTTCTAATGTATTCCATCTGATTTAATTAGCCCCGGGATGACTGATAGTATGGGGTAATTTGATTAACATTATTAAAATGAAGATTAATAAATATTTTAAGATACATCTTTGGCTACATAATAACAAAAATTTTATAAAAATGTATTTTAAACACAAACATATTTATTATAAAA